GAGGTTTGGTTCCATATCGATATTTTATTATTATTATTATTTTAATGTATTGTCTATATTGGTTGATTTATTTATGATGATTTATTTGTCGTAACCTCCATGGACGGTTTGCCATAACTTTTTGTTTATGAATGGTTTGCCATGGCCTTTATGGTTTGCCATAACCCTCCTTTGTTCATGAATGATTTTTGATAACCTTTCTGTGTTCATGAATGATTTGCTATAAATCTTTCTTTTTTGCCATATCCTTCCTGTGTTCAGGAATGGTTTTCTCTAAATCCTGCTTTTATTTGCCGTAACCTTTCTAATTTTTTCTTTCTCTTTCCAGGTAAGCATCTCGGACGGATGGTTGTCTCGTGAGTAGATCGGATAAGATCAGTTGGAAATGTTTGCGCTGGATGAGCTGTGGTGTGTGCTGATAAAAGGGTTGGTTAGATAAATTGTGATAGGCGTGGGTGATAAGTTCCAGGTGACTTGATGGCGGTAGGCTAGTTCCAAATCATGCTGACACATTCATTTTCTCTCTCTCTCTCTCTCTCTCTCTCTCTCTCTCTCTCTCTCTCTCTCTCTCTCTCTCTCTCTCTCTCTCTCTCTCTCTCTCTCTCTCTCCTCTCTCGCTCTCTTCTCTCTCTCCCCATCTATCTATCTATCTATCTATCTATATATCTATCTATCTATCTATCTATCTATCTATCTATCTATCTATCTATCTATCTATCTCTATCTACCTATTTCGCAACTCCCATATCACTCTCCGCATGGCATTTTCGCTCTCGCTCTTACTCCCAGTCCCACTCTCACTCCCACAACTACAAGCACAAGCAGCGCTTACTCACCAGCAGAGTGGCACGGGTTGACTAACATATATTTTTTTTGTTCTTACGTCGACGTCATCTTGTCAGACCCGTTTTCGCTGGTCAAGGTCGGCCATTGATTCGGATGCAGAGCCGCTGTTCGTTCCTCTTGCATGGTGGCCTGGGGGCATTAAGGGTTGAGGTTTTGGTTGTCTCTTTGTTGTTTGTGGTTCGTTGGACACACCATGCGAATGTAGGTGTACAATCGTGGACGCATGCACACGCACTCACGGTCACACACAACCAGTCACACTCGCAAGTTACTAGACACACTTGCATTTACACTTTGGTCTTGTTCTTACTTTTTGCCTAGTGGTTATTTATTCAGTTGCTGTACTTGTGCGTGTATTTGAACTTGCGCTTTGCATGCACGACAAGCAATTGAACGTGGTCACAGGCACATGCCAATAACGATCTATCTGGGTGATCTATCTATCCATTTGCTATTACACTTCCATCGTCTTGTTAAAGTGTGTTGATTAAATTATGTCTTTCCCAAATTACGTTGAGTAGATAGATGTTAGAAGGAGAAATTTTCATGATCTCAATTTCAGTTTTTTTAAATGATTAATGCACGAGTTAATTAGAAGGAAATTCTTGAAAGGGAAAAAAGAAAAAAGATGGAAAGAGGAATGTGGACTCATTTTCTAAAACATGAGAATGAAAAGAAGGTATATTTGGGTAAGAGATAAGAGGGGGAGATTTGGGGGGTAGGAAGAGTTGCCGCTTAGTGATTTTGGAAAGGGCGGGACTAATACCTTTAAATCTTTTTGTCCGTTATTTATAAAGCTGTATGCGGATGTTGGATTATTTATGAAAATGCAATATGGTAGTTTTATTTATTGCTCACGTGGCGCAAAAGAAAAAAAAGTCAGTTTTAATCACGAGCAAGTAGTGTCTTTGGCCATTTTCAGTTAGTAGATTTCTCTTAATATTTTTGCATATCACTGTTCTCCTCCTCCCCTTTTACTCATTTTTCTTCTTTCTTTTTTCTTTCTTCTCCCTCTTATCTTTCTCCTTCACCTCCTCCTCCTCCTTCTCCTTCGCCTTCACCTACACCTTCATCATCATCATCTCCTTATCCTCCTCCTCCTCCTCTTCCTCCTTTTTCTTCTTCTTCTTCGTCTTCTCCTCCAGCTCCTACTTTTTGCCTTTGCTTTGTCTTCTTTCACCTTTGTCTTTTGTTTATCTCTTTTTCCCCTTCCCTCCCTCCTTTCCCCTCCTCTCCTCCCTCTCCTCCCCTACCCTCCCCTCCCCTCCCTCCTCTCCTCCCCTTGCGTTGCCCCCCCCCTCCGCGAATGACGATTCCCATTTTCTTAAATTGCAACAGTTTCTTTGAGGTTCCGTTTTCTGTTGGGAAACTACGAGGCTAGACTGGATGCCTGTGGTTATACTTTGGTATTTTTTTGTGGTGTGTTTTGTGTGCTTGCTTGTGTGCCTGCTGCTGTGTCATTTGTTTATGTTGGTTGTATATGTTTTGGGTATGTGTTGTATATTCAGGTAGACAGACAGACAGACAGACAGACAGACAGACAGACAGACAGACAGACAGACAGACAGACAGACAGAGACAGGACAGACAGACAGACAGACAGACAGACAGAGAGAGAAAATCGACTACCTACATACCAACAGACACATACACAGCGCGCGCGCGCACACACACCACACACACACACACACACACACAGCACACATACACATACACATACACATACACATACACACATACACATACACACACACATACACACACACACACACACATACATACAACTGCATACAACTACATACATACATACATATGATACCATACATACATACACATACATACATACATACATACATACATACAAATACAATACCCGAGAAGGGAAACTGCATGGCGGAGTCCCTCGTTAAAGCCCGTCTGCACGTTTTAGGTTTGCCAGCCTGCGTGGCGCCTTGTCCCGGCCGCCGCCATGCCCCTCTCTGCTGCTGGGCTTCGCCCGGCGCTCATATCTCTTCTCTCTCTCTCTCTCTCTCTCTCTCTCTCTCTCTCTCTCTCTCTCTCTCTCTCTCTCGTCTCTCTCTCTCTCTCTCTCTCTCTCTCTCTCTCTCTCTCTCTCTCTCTCTCTCTCTCTCCTCTCTCTCTCTCTCTCCCTCTCTCTCTCTCTCCCCCCTCTCTCCCTCCCTCTCCCTCCCTCTCCCCCTCCCAACCTCCCTCATCCTCCTCCCTCCTCTGTGTGTGTTTTTTTTTCTCGTCCTTTCAATTCTTTCTTCCTCTGTATATTTTTGTCTAGTCTCACCCTCCTCTTCCACCCTTTTTCTTTAAGCTTCCATTGTCTCGTTATTGTCCCTCCGTCTTTTTCCTTCATTCGTCCGAGTCTTTTTTCTCTTTGTCTTCTTTCTCTTCTTTTGATTCTTAGTTTTTCTTTCTCATCTCTACTCCCTTTGTTTCTCTTCCTCCCTCTATCCCTCCTTCCCTTCTTTCTTTTCTTCCTTCCTTCCCTTCCTGCCTTCCTCCCTCCCTCCTCCCTCCCTCCCTCCCTCCCTCCCTCCTCCCTCCCTTTCATCCTTTCCGTCCTTCCTCTACCTTGTTTGTTTTCGACGCCGTGTATTATCTTCAAAGTACGGGGGAGGGGGCAGGGCGTTGGGACGGGAGTGGTGGGGGGTGCGTGTTCCTCCAGGTGGTGGTGCATTGCCGGAGACTGTGGTTTTTATTATTGTCTTTATTATTAGCCTTATCATGTTTATTATCGTTATCACAGTTATTGTCATTAACGTTATTTTGCTTTGATAGTGGCATTTTGAGAATTATTGTCGTCGCTGTTATCGTCTTAATCATTATGATCATTATTGCCTTCATAATTATTTAAGTGAGTGTTTTTATCATTGCAGTTGGCACTGTTGAAATTGGAGATTCTGGTGAGGAATTGATAGTAACCAGACCCGAATGAAACTTTTCTGTGAAGCTGATTAGGCATTTCTTTTATTATTACTCACGGGCCTGGAGTTTTTTTTTTTAAGCGGATGCATTGGGCATCGAAACTTTAAGACGGATTCGTGTGTATGTGTGCGTGTGTGTGTGGTGTGTGTGTGGTGTGTGTTGTGTGTGTGTGTGTGTGTGTGTGTTGTGTGTGTGTGTGTGTGTGGTGTGTGTGTGTGTGTGTGTGTGTGCGTGTGTGGTGTGCGTGTGTGTGTGTGTGTGCGTGTGTGTGTGCGTGTGTGTGTGTGTGTGTGTGTGTGTGTGTGTGTGTGTGTGTGTGTGTGTGTGTGTTGTGTGTGTTATGTACATAGATATACCCCCGCCCCCCAGCTCTACAGATTTCCAGCCAAGTGAGCGATGAGTCATCCACCCCTTCTCCCTCCACCGTTGCGGTGTGACGAGGTGGGGGATGTGAATGGGAGGGGGAGAGGGGTAGAGCAAAGGGTGGGATGTAGGAGGTAGCACGTAAGGGTTCGGGCGTAGGGGTAGGGGATGGGAGTAGGGGTAGGGGTGGGAAGTATGGGTTGGGTGACCTTGGAGGTGGATTTAAGAGGTCGGAGATTGGGGGGGGGGTTATAGGTCTTGTTGTGTGAGATGAGGAGGGGGTGATCCTGATCCCGTTTTGTCTCTTGATCCTCGATCCCTTCCCTCTCCCTCCCTCCCCCTCCCCCTCCCTCCTTTCCCCTCTTTTCTCTTTCTCTCTTCCCTCCCCTTCCCTCTGCTCGTTGGGGTGAATATGGAGAGAAGGAATGGTTAAATCTTAATTAAGCCTTAATTAAGATGTACACGTAGATTCTATAGAAAATGTGATATCGAAATGAGTTCAAGGGGGAGGGTAGGGGTCTTAGGGGGAGGATATGGAGGAAGATTGGGGTGGGGAGGAGATGAAGGGGGTAGGATGGGGATGGGTGGAGGAGTTGGGGGGTGGGAGTCGTATGTACCGGCTTTATTCGCGGGATATTGGGAGTGAGTTATGTTGGGGGTGATTGGCGATGGTGGTCTGGTGGGTTGTGGTGTGGTGGTTGCGACGGTTGGTTGTGGGAAGGAAGGTTGTGCTTTTGGTAATGGTGATGATGAGGATGACGGCGATGGTGATGACAGTGATGATAGTAGTGACGATGGTGGTGGTGGCGATGATAATGATAGTAATGGTGATGGCAGTGATGATTGTAATGACGATGGCGAAGGTGGAGGTGGTAGTGAGTACGGATGTTATACTCGGGGTGATGTTGATTGGCCCTGTCGCCGGTGAAGGTGGCGCCGCTGATGGTGTGGAAACAACAGCAGGAAACAAAAGTAATAGTGATGAAAATGTCAGGAATGGAAGTAATAAGAATGGAAAGGAAAAAAGTGGTTAAAGTGATCAATACGAGAACTAAAAATCAGCAAATCAATAAGCACGAGGTACAAGATGGAATTAATTAGGTTTTGAGTTATTCGTGGAAAACTTGATTTAATGAACATAAAAGAAAACAAGCAAATCGTGTTGCAGGAAGTAGATTTAAGTATTGATGATTGTAGATGTCAGTGATGATGATGATGATATGATGATGTTGATTATGATGAGGATATGGATTTGTGGATGATGAATACGGTAAGGAGAATGATGATGTGGATATGGTGATCAAAATGATGTTGATTAAGGGATGACGAAAAGGAGTGCGAGAATGGTGTTAGAAATAAGAACGAAAATGGGAACGAGGATGAAGACAAGAAATTCCCAGAAGAAAAATGAAAGAGTAATTTTTTCTCAGTCTTCTGCCCCCCCCCATCTCCCCGTTATTTGTTTCTCCCCCCTCCCCCGCCCCGTATCTGTTAAAGCAGGGTAAATTCGGCCTAATGGGATGGAACGGAGGCCGATATTGGCACTCTGAGACAGTGCCAGGGGAGGAGGGAGAGGGGGAGAAAAGGATAATAGGATAGGAAGGGAGAAGGGTGGAGGGAAAGGAAAGGAAAAGCGAAATGGGAAATGAGAGGAGAAGGGAGAAGAGGGAGGGAGGGAGGAGCAAAGGAAAGGAAAGGGGGTAAGGGATAGGAGGGAGGGGAGGGAAGGAGGGAAGGAAAGGAAAGGCAAATGAAAGGATATGGGAGGGATACAGGATAGGAGGGAATGAGGAGATAGGGATAGGGTTATGATGGGAGGAGGGGAGAGAGACGAGGGTGAGGATAAGACAAGTTTGGATGGGAGTGAAGGATAAAATGAGAGAATAGGTATTAGTTTTCTTCGAATATAAAGATTTGATATCACGTTCCCCCCCTCTATATGTCTATTCATTTATTTATAGTGTCTCCTATCTGCGAGTGTATCTATTAAAGATATATTGATGTACTAGGTCAGTGCCATGTGAGAAGTGATGGCGACGGGTTAGCTTGCGTTCCATGCATGCCTGTTCAAGGGCGATGGACGAGAGAGGGAAGAGAGCGAGAGGGAGAGGGAGAGGAGAGAGCGAGAGCGAGAGAGGAGACAGAGAAAGAAAGAAAGAAAGAAAGTAAGGGGGAGAGAGAGGGGGAAGGGAGGGGTGATTAATGCAGATGCAGGAGATATAATAAAAATTGGGAAGGAGGAGGGGAAAGCAAGGAAAGGGAGGAGTAGTAGTAATAAAAAAGAAGGGAAGATGGGGAGGATAAAGAATGGAAAAAGAGAGGGAAGAGAGAAATGAAAAAAAAAAGAGAAATGAAGAAGGGAAGAAGAGAAAGAGGAAAAGAAATATGACGAAAGGGAGAAGAGAAAAAAATGATAGATGGAAGAAAGGGGAGGAATGAAGGAATCCCTAAAGAACAAGGAATGAGATAGACAAAGGAAAGACCAAAGAAGCTATAGTAACAGGAGTGCCACGCGTGTTCAAATCAGGTGGGTTTAATTTGCGTTTCATATCTGGGTCATTTGCATTCAGACCGTATTGGATTGGAAGGCATGGCAGGATCGGTGGGAGGGGTTGGGTAGGAGGGGGTAGGAGGGGTTGGGTGGCTCCATTTGCCTCTCTTCTCTTTCTCTTTCTCTATTTCTTTTTCTTTTTCCTTTTCTCTGTTGTTTTTTTTTCTGTTTGTTTTCTTTTCTATTTTCTTTTTTCTTTTTTTTTTCCTTTTTTCTTTCTCTTTCTCTTCTCTCTCTCTCTCTCTCTCTCTCCTCTCTCTCTCTCTCTCTCTCTCTCTCTCTCTCTCTCTCTCTCTCTCTCTCTCTCTCTCTCTCTCTCCTCTCTCGCTCGCTCCCCCCCATCTATCTATATATCTATCTCTATCTACCTATTCGCAACTCTCCTCTCTCTCCCCTCCACCTCTCTCCCTCTCTCCCTCTCTCCCTCTCCTCTCTCTTCCCTCTCCCTCTCCTCTCCTCTCCCTCTCTTCCTCTCTCTCTCTCTCTCTCTCTCTCTCTCTCTCATCTCTCTCTTCTCTCTCTTCTCTCTTCCTCTCCCTCTCCTCTCCTCTCCCTCTCCCTCTCCCTCTCCCTCTTCTCTCTTTTCAGTACGTCTTCGGGACGCTCGTGCATCGTAAGAGATTCTCTCTCCTCTCCTTCTCTCTCTCTCTCTCTCTCTCTCTCTCTCTCTCTCTCTCTCTCTCTCTCTCTCTCTCTCTCTCTCTCTCTCTCTTCTCTCTTCTTCTTCCTCCCCTCCCTCGTCTCTCTCTCCCCTCTAACTTCCATCTTCCTTCCCTCCTCCCTCCCTCGCATGCACTTAGAAAGCGAGATGTTGTCAGTCGCGTGTCGTTGTTTTTGTTAGTGTGAAGTTAGTGTTGAAGGGGCAAGGCCGCGCACCTCCCCTTATTCCTCCTTTTCGTCTTCTTGCCTTTTCTGACGCCTTTCCTACCTCTTTTTCATTCCTTCTCTCTTTTCTTCTTCTTCTTCTTCTTCTTCTTCTTCTTTTCTTCTTCTTCTTAATTCTTCTTCTTCTTCTTCTTTCTTCTTCTTCTTCTTCTTCTTCTCTTCTTCTTCTTCTTCTCTTCTTCTTCTTCTTCTTCTTCTTCTTTTCTTCTTCTTCTTTCTTTCTTCTTCTTCTTCTTCTTCTTCCTCTCTCCTCCTCCTCCTCCTCCTCCTCCTCCTCCTCCTCCTCCTCCTCTTGGAATAGCAAGGCGTATCGGGTTACGCTTTTGCCAGTGTTTGTGGGAATGGCTTTTGAGCGCCACCCCTTCCCCCTGCTCGCCACTGTCTCTTCCCACCCTTCTTAGCTTGTCTTAGCAACCTTTCTCTCTCTTTCTCTCTTTTTTATTCTTTCTCCTCTTTTTCTCTGTCTATCTATCTATCTATCTATCTCTCTATCTTTCTCTATCTATCTATCTATCTTTCTGTCTATCTTTCTCTCTCTGCATCTGTGTGTTTGTATTTGTATGTGTGTGTGTCTGTGTCTGTGTTGTGGGATCAAACGATTGACAGCAAGGTTTATTTGAATCTTCTTTGATGTTGGTGGGTGGTGGTAGTGGGGGGTTGCGTACATGTTGGAGGTGACTGTGAGGGGGGAGATGAGATGGGGAAGCAGGAGGAGCAGGAGGAAAGTAAGAGAAGAAGAAGGAGATGAAGAAGGGGACGGAAGAAACGAGATGAAGAAGAAAAAGGTGAATATTATGAGGAAAACGAAAAAGATGAGGATAAGGAGGATGATGAGAAGGGAGATGGGATGATGGAGTACAATACAGTAAGAGAAAAATGATATATAGGGAGAAAGAGAGAATTGTTTATATTAACTTGTGTATCCAAACGCGTCTGGCCTCCCCCCCCCCCCCCCCCTGCGATTGCCCACTCTCTCGGTGTGTTTGGACAGAGACCGTAACTTGTCACGAGGTTCCATTATTGAGGCGCTCAAGTGGGCAAGGTTACGTTTGGGGAAGGGAGGTGGAGAAGCAACAGTGAGACATGGAGACAGAGAGACAGTGAGTGAGTGAATGAGAGAGTGAATTGGTGAGTGATTGAGTGAAAGGGTGAGTGAGTGAGTGAGTGAGTGAATGGGTGAATGGGTGAGTGAGTGAGTGAGTGAGTGAGTGAGTGAACGAGTGTCTGAGTGAGTGTGTATGTCTGTCTGTGTCTTGCTTCCTGTTTCTGTCTATCTGTTTATCTGTGTGTTTGCTTGTCTGTCAGTGTGTGTGTCTGCGATTGAGCGTTTATTAATTTACACGCATGTCAGATTGCATGTAATCTGTTTCTGCATTTAGTATGAGACTTTGATGAATGAGAGAGTCGCAGAATAACCGAATAATTCCTATTCAATCGCGTGCGGTATCGACGCGGTGAAGTGAATGCTTACCTTCACCTGAATCTGTGGCCGTATTTGCACCGACGCAGCATTGGGGCAGCAAGTGGCACGTAATACACGCAATGTTTTTTTTTTTTGTTTCTTTTTTTAATAATTCGCATTGTAGCATGGACGTATTCACCGGATGAGGCGGAGGAGGAGGAGGAGGAGGCGAACACATCAGGCGCTCTGGATTTTTTTTTTCT